TAGATAGATAGATAGATAGATAGATAGATAGATAGATAGATAGATAGATAGATAGATAGATAGAACTTTATTACAGTCAAAGACCAGCCACCATACTTCTTAGAAATCTGGATAGCCATTGCAGATTTACCTTAACAAGCTGCAAACATGGCAGACTGCCGATTTCCTCCCCTCTCTGCTGACTCCTGCGTGGTCGGCTAAAGCAAATTCAATAGTGCAGATCAATTCACATTTTTCCTACTGTCTAGTTCCATCCTCAGGTGGACAGCTAACTATGATGATTGAGATGTCCATGTTTCCCTATATTTGAACCGCAAACATTAATCTCTCAGGAATGTAAATGTCAAATCTGAAAATGTGAAGTCCAGATTTCTTTCATCCATAATTCCTTAGATGTTCCCAGTGTAACTTCAGACTTCGGAGGTAGCTGTTTATGCATTTTCAGGAGGAAATAATGAAAGTGTGGATATTTATATGCACCTTTAAACCTGGATGCTCACATCTGAAGCTATAAAATTAGAATAGTGCAGGGATCCCAAGAATGGGTTCATGGTTTTTATACACACATAGGAATGTCATCATCACTTTTCTTTGAGATGAGCAATCTTATTTTGTCTATGGGCCACTGGCAACAACAGATTTTTGGGTACCCATCTCACATACATCTATAGTCAAATAGGCAAACAACTACATCCACATGTGAACCTTCTGTAATTATCCTCTCAATTCCACAAACACACTCATGCATACATGTTTATATGCATAGGGAGGGCTATGCTTGGTCATGATTGCTAGCTGGAGCTTAATCCTATCTGATCCACAGATTCTCATTAAGATCACTGTTTCCCACAATGCACTAGTCCCTCTCCTCTTCAGATTTTACTTTCAGTTCTGTTTCTAAGATAAAGTGAGGAGGCTCTGAGCCACAAACACTATCTTTCCTCTCTGGGGAAAGAGGGAGTATAAATATAATGAACAATAAATAAACAGCAGTAAATAAACACCCATCCAAATCATCAGTGGGTTTTTTCCTTTCATTCTGGTAAGGTGGTTTGTGCAATAATATCACATTCATTTAACCACCAGTAGAAAAGTAACATAACTGCGCTTCAAATGTCTGCATTTTAAAGTAAGGGGAGATCAAATTATATTATTTAGCTTAGTGATTAGCTTAGCTCTTTTCCACTAGCTTTCTCATTTCTTTTTTCCACTTTTTTCTTTTGACTTTTTTAAATTAATAATTTGGGATAAGGTAAGGGGTACAGAAGGTAAAGGGGGATATGGGGGAAGGAGGGGAAACACAAAATGTACTGGCATACAATCTATTCATGTTGGAATATCAAATAGACTTTCCACTTTTTTACAATTTGATTGCCCTTCAGGTTTTAACTTACATTTACATCCTAGTTTAAATCTACAGTATGTTATTCAAGCACTATCTGGTGACTAAAGCCATTTATATAATAAACCCCATAGTTCAGTTGCCCTTTTAATTGGACAGTCTTTCAACACTTCTGATAAAATATCCATATCTGTTGCTTCCCATATCTTCTCAACAAGTCCCTCTTGTTCAGGTATCACCGATTTCTTCCAATTCTTGGCATAAAGAATTCTGGCTGCAGTGACTATATATATAAGTAAGTAGTTCTTTTTCTTATCTATAATGTCTAGTATAATGCTCAGCAGAAACAGTTCTGGGGTTAGTGGAACATTACAAAGCAATATTTTTTTTACAGAGTATATACTCCTATCCAATATTATTTCGCTACTCTGCAAGTCCACCACATATGGTAAAAGCTTCCCTCATGTGCTTCACACTTCCAACAAACATTTGACATGTCTGTATAAATCTTTGACAATTTTTCCGGAGTCATATGCCACCTATAAAACATCTTGTATATGTTCTCCTTGAAATTAACCGATTTTGTGAGCTTTATATTATTTTTCCATATTTGCAACCATTGATCAATATCAATATTATGTCCTATATTTTGTGCCCACCTAATCATACATTCTTTGACCATCTCATCTTGCATTTTAATTTCTAACAAATAATCATACATTTTCTTAATTATTTTATCTTTTGAGCCCAGCAGAAGTTTATCAAATATCGTTTGTTCTGGGTAAAAGCCCTCTACTTTATCTTCTCTATACCTAGATTCCACTTGTGCTCTGGATCACCAGTCTATATATATGTTTTGTGTCTCTAGCTCTTCTTTAGACCTTAACTCACAATCCTTTATTTAATAAATCTTGATATCTTAAAAGTTTTGCTTTTGTCATGAGATTAGGTTGTGTAAAGGCCTCTATAGGTGATAACCAGACGTGTTTTTTGATAAATCTGTTGGATGATTTTTTTCCAAGTCCCTAGTAGGGCTCTTCTTATCATATGTGAGATGAAATGTTTCTGCTCTTTATCTTTCTTGTACCATAGAAAAACATGCCAATCGAACTGCAAATCATGTCCTTCCAAATTGAGTAGTCTACCATTTTCTAAGGTTATCCATTCCTTTATCCAGTCTAATACACAGGATCTATAATACAAAACCCAATCTGGGACACCAAAACCCGCTCTTTGTTTGGCATCTTGCATTGCTTTAATTTTAATTCTTGGTTTTTTACCTTGACACACAAATCTCATGATTATCTTGTTAAGTTCTTGAAAAAAGACTGTTTAAATATTATGGGAATTGTCTGAAATAAAAATAGAATTTTAGGTAGAACATTGATTTTAATGGTTGCTTTTCTTCCCATCAGCGATAGATGTAAATTGTCCCATTTCTCCAAGCTAATCTGTATCTCTTTAATCAACTTCATATAATTGTCTTTTAATAATGTACTCATTTTCTTTGTGATTTGGATCCCTAAGTATCTAACTCTCTTTTCTTCTTGAAAGTTAGTCCTTTTTATTAGCTTCTGTCATTCTTGTTCTCTCATATTTTTAACACGTAATTTTATTTTCTTTTGGTTTATTTTCATTCCTGCCATATCACCAAAATTATTCAGCATCTCCATCAGGTCTTCAGTCCAGTCCATTGGATCCTCTAATATAATAACTAGATCATCTGCAAAAGCTTGGAGCTTAAAGGTATGACCTGTTACTTTCAGTCTTTTTATTTCCTTTTTATCTCTAATTTGCTCAGTTAATATTTCTAGAGTAAGAATGAATAGCAATGGAGAGAGAGAGAGAGCACCCCTGTCTAGTACCTTTCTGTATTTGTATTTCTTGCGTCAACTCTCCATTGATTCTAACTTTTGCCTTTTGCTGGGTATAAATTGCTTTAATTAATTTCAAAAATCTTTCTCCAACTTGTAGCACTTCCAATTG